ACAATGTAAAAAAATTTCATCATAAATTTATGCCAAAATGTATTCCGCTACAGTTCTTAGCTTAAAAAAACCTCCCAATACGTGAAAATTAATCGTATTGCGTGAAAGTTATAGCATTTACAAATGGCGGTATATATACTGGGTTTTTGTTTCTCCATTTTTACTATTAATGGCAGCAATAAGCGACTTATAGCTATAGCGGGACTGCAGCGGACATTCTGACACTGGGGGGGAGAGACTTGGTGTCACTGACATTCCAAAGCACTGACACTGTACTAATGGCACTGGGCAGGAAGGCGTTAACATGAGGGGCAATCAAAGGGTTAACTATCTGCTGGGAGTGTTTTACCAGGGGGCAGGATGTGTGTGATTAACTGTAATCACACTGCTGTGGATGGCTGTGCTATGCACAGCCATCCACAGCAGTGTGCCCGCGCTGCAACGGATGCAAAATTGAAAACAAACGACAAATTGCAAAAAATAGCAGGACAAAATTCTTCAAATATATTAATAGTAAAAAAGGTCCAGTCCGAGCATGTAGGCCCTTTACAAAATAATCTAGAGTGGGTGACTGGGGACAAAGAGAAGGCACATTTGTTAAATACCTTCTTCAGCTCTGTGCACACAAAGGGGCATGGGGGAGCTCTTATCCATAATGGGCATGGTATGGACACAGCTCCAGATGATCCACTTTGGTTCACAATTGATATGATCCAAAAATATTTAGACAGTATAAAGGGGAATAAAGCACCTGGACCGGATGGCATACACCAACGGGTCCTTAAAGACCCTCTGTCATTTCAAAGCCATTGTTTCTAATTTTTAAGGACTCTTTAATGACTGGCATAGTACCATTGGATTGGCATAAGGCCAATGTGGTGCCAATATTTAAAAAGGGTCAAAATCTTTACCAAGTAATCACAGACCTGTTAGTTTAACGTCAATAGTTGGGAAGATACTGGAGAGTTTAATAAAAGATCACATAGATGAGTTCTTGCTGGGAAAAAAAATATTTTAAGCAACAGACAGCATGGATTCATGAAAGACAGAAGTTGCCAAACAAATCTGAATTCTTTTTATGAGGAGGTGAGCAAAACTGTGGACAGAGGGGTGGCGGTAGACGTAGTATACTTGGATTTTGCAAAAGTGTTTGGTAATTTGCTAATGTGTAAGGTAAAGTCTACAGGCTTGGAACAATCTGTATGTAAATGTATAGAAAACTGGCTAAAAGATCATATTCAGAGAGTAGTGGTTAATAATTCATACTCTGAATGGTCTAGGGTTGTCAGTGGTGTACCCCAAGGTTCAGTGTTGGGACCCTTACTTTTTAATATATTCATAAACCATATAGGGTCTGGGATTAAAAATACCATTTCAGTCTTTGCAGATGACACCAAGCTGTGCAGTGGAATAATGTCCTTACAGGATGTCTCCAACTTACAAGACAACCTCAATGCACTGTTTAATTGGGCAACTATGTGGCAAATGGTTTAATGTTGATAAATGTAAGGTTCTGCACTTGAGGGATAAGAATATGTATGCATCATACATACTAGGGGGAGTACAACTGGGGGAATCAATGGTGGAGAAGGATCTGGGAATTCTGGTAGATCACAAGCTTAATAATGGCATGCAATGCCAAGCTGCGGTTTCTAAAGTGAGCAAAATCCTCTCTTGTATTAAAAGAGGTATAGACTCCAGAGAGAGAGATATCATTTTGCCCCTGTACAAATCATTAGTAAAACCTCATCTGGAATATGCAGTTCAGTTTTGGGCACCAATTCACAAAAAGAACATTGGGGAACTGGAGAAAGTACAGAGAAGGGCAACCAAACTGATACGAGGCATGGAGGAGCTCAGCTATGAGGGAAGATTAGAGGAACTGAATGTATTCTCTCTTGAGAAGAGGAGATTAAGGGGGATATGATCAACATGTATAAATACATCAGTGGTTCATATAGTGAACTCGATGTAGAGCTATTGACCATGATGTCATCATAGAGGACAAGGGGGCACTCTTTACGTCTGGAAGAAAAGAAATTTAATCTCCAAACACGGAAAGGTTTTGTCACAATAAGAGCTGTGAAAATGTGGAATAGACTCCCTCAAGAGTTGGTTCTGGCCAGCTCAGTGGATTGCTTTAACCCCTTTCCGACCGCAGATAGCTGAATGACGGCTTCACTGCGGCCGGCCAGATCTGGGAGGGGTGTCATTAGACATAGTGCCATCCATCAGTGCCCAGCAGTGCCATCCATCAGTGCTGCCCAGCAGTGCCACCTATCATTGCCTAGCAGTCTCACCATTCAGTGCCACCAGTCAGATCCCAGCAGTGCCGCCAGTCAGTGCCCATCATCAGTGCTAGCTCATCAGTGCTGCCTATCAGTGCCCATCAGTGCTGCCTATCAGTGCAGCCTCATCAATGCACATCAGTGAAGGAGAAAAATTATCTGTTTGCAAAATTTTATAATAGAAACAAAAAAAAAATTGTTTTAATTTTTTGCTCTTTTTTTGTTTATAGCGCAAAAAATAAAACACCCAGCGGCAAGTAAATACCACCAAAAGAAAGCTCTATTAGTGTGAAAAATAATAAAAATATTTCATATGGGTACAGTGTTGTATGACCACGCAAATGTCATTCAAAACGCGACAGCGCTGAAAGCTGAAAATTGGCCTGGGCAGGAAGGGGGTATAAGTGCTTGGTAGGCAAGTGGTTAAAAAGGCCTGGATTCTTTCTTAGATACACAGAATATAACTGGATACGAACACTTGATAAGTTGATCCAGGGAATATCCGATTGCCTCTCGGGGGATCAGGAAGGAATATTTTTCCCTGCAGGAGCAAAGTGAATCATGCTTTGCTAGGTTTTTTTTTGCCTTCCTCTGGATCAACTGTGGGTGTAGGATTATAATTTTTTTTTTTTATTAATGGTTGAACTGGATGGACTTTTGTCTTTTTTCAGCCAGACTAACTATGTAACTATATGAAAGTACATTCACATCCTTCAAGAAGGCATTGTAAAGGGGAGCGTGTCCAAACTAAAGTCCTGCCCCACTGCTCACCTTGCCACATCCCTCCCCATCATACACATCAGTTCCTGGAGCTGTTAACCCTTTTGTAATTGAAGCATTGTGTGTTTCCAGTGAAGAGGTTAAGGAAACACTGCTCTGCTCCCAAACAGCCTCCTCCTGCTGTACAACTTTCCCTATACAGTAAATCCAGTAGCTAATTTAGCATACCCCAGGTCACAACAGCTAGAAATATAGCTGGGAAACTGTTGCACATCCCTATAAAACACACCTAAGCATTCTAGTGACAGAGCGACTCAGAGCTTGACAGGTGAAAGTCTCAGCAGAAATGGGGAAGATCTACTGCAAGAGAGCGTGGGGTTCAAATCCTAACATGATGTATGCAATAGGTCACAGTAATTAGCATCAGAATGGCGTGTACTACAGGTTGTTAATTGTGTGTGTGACTCATCTAAACCTAAGCTGCAGTGGGTTGTGGTGGTGGTGTTGTGGTAGCGGGGAATGACTAACACAAATTCTGCACACTAAAGCTGACCATACGACTGACTTTTGTCAAAAGGAGCCTGCTGGGAAATTTTTGGCTGAACAGCAGCTGCATCCAATCAGATGAAACCGCAGGTCAGGTATGCTGACAGCCAGCAAGGATGGATGTCACAATATAAGTGCCACAGCGGGAGAGTCGTCCATCAGAACATGACCAGCTTTAAGAGCTCCCAAGTGACACAAACAACAGAATCAATACATGTTTATTTCACTATTAGACTCCATGCACACTAGCATTTTTTAAGCTCCTAGAAGCTGTTATCAGCATTTTTATCTGCTCCTAGAAGCTAAATAGTGTTATCCTATGTGTCTATGCACATTATTTTAGGCTTGTAGCACGTTTCAAGCTTCAGCGTTTAGGAGCATAAAAAAATGTTTTTGGAGCATTTTTCTTGCTTTTTTTCCCCCTACACGTACTGTTAAAACACTAATAAAACACCAATGCTCCTAAAATGGTACTACAACGCTACTAAAACACTACTGAAAACTGCTATTGCCAGTGTTTTTTTGAGCTTAACAAAAACAAGTTATTATTACAACAAGAAGGGAGGGTTAATCTTCCAAATAGGAGAATTGTTCTAGTAATGACAGGCTAATAGGGGAATTTCCTTTATGCAAGCCATAGATGGGTCAAAAATTGGCTGGTTTTTCAGCCGAAAAAAATACAAAACAAAAAAAAAAATGGCCAATTTTTGCACCGTTAATGGGTTAATTGGTCGGCCGGTTTTCTGGGTTTTGGCACAATTTTTTTTTTTATCGGTGAAGTTGGGAAAATCGTCCAATCGGCAAAATCAGACGATTTTTTTTCCAACAATGATGGCCAAATCGGACGATCTTTTTACCGATAAAAAATCTGCGCATGAGCCGTGGCCTGCAAGAAGCAGAAAAAGAAGAAGAAAAAGATGAAAAAGAAGAAGAATTCCAGTCCACTATTATATTTGACATGAAAAAGTATTGCGGTTGCAACAATGTATCCATTTGTATCCGAATAAAAACATCTGTATCTGAAATGGATACAAAATGGATACATTGTTGCAACCGCAATACTTTTTCATGTCAAATATAATTAAATGCCGGCCGTAGATGGGAAGAAAATCGGCTGATTTTTTTTACCGTTGGTGGTAACGTTGGCCTATTGAACAACCGATTTTTTGTTTTTTTTTAAAAATGTCCGGTTTTCGACCGGTCTATGGCCTGCATAAGTTTGAAGAGATTTCCTTTCACTTTATGCTACATCACCAAAACAGGGAGTGAAGGGAAATCACACTAAGAAGTCACACAGAAAAATTACATACTCTTCCATATACTATTGAAAAAAAAATAAAAAAATTTGACTATACATACTATATGCTTTTATTATTATTTCTAGAATTATACACACATTGCCCTTTTATTTAATTTTCCATATATCTTAGTAAAGAGTTTTCATACCTGGTAGGCTCTAATCAAGGACTGCACTGCCAAATGGTCCTCCACTAGCTTCTCGGCTTTGGCTGGTGCCATAGTAAGGCCTTGACTGCGAATAAGTGAAGCTTTAGTCTGTAAATCTGCTTTTTGCATATGATTGGCTTCACCAGTAGCTCCAGGATCTGCTTTGCGGAAAAAAGCATCCCAAGACTACACAATAAGAAGCAAAACAACAATTGTTAGTTTATCAGGTAACTTGTCACGTAACTTGTCAATGTTTACTTATTCAATTCAAACAATTTGAAATCTTATGCCATATTGCACCTTATTAAGAATGAAAAAATGCAAAGTTATTTTAGCAGTTCATTAAGAATATTAGAGAAAGATGTATGATGGAAACAGTGTTAAGTTTTTGCCTGTGTTCAACAAAGTATTTCAATAAAATTACTACGGCTTGTAAATGTTAAAGAGCTACTAAAATGTGTATTAATGATGCTTTTTCTCAGGAAGCTATAACTTCTGTCATAAAGCTGTCCATTCTGAAAAATTATACAAGAGCAAAATTCAAAAGCATTATTGGCAAAAAGTAAAATCTTTGACTGAGTGTGACTTCAATGTAATGTGTATCCACATCTGCAATGCATTACGATTATTAAAACAGTAATTTACATCTACAACATATTTACAATTCAAAAGCAAAAAATAGACACCTTTTATTCTTTGTAACCCGGACACTGACAACATTTGGATATCTAAGGCCAGAGACAAAATCAACTAGACAAAATTATTTTATGCAGAATGCATATCTAAACCGAAGAACAAAAATGAAATATATTGCAGCTTACCTAGTCCTTCGATATGCTGGAAGTATTAGTTTATTTTTTCATGCTTTTTATTTTTTTCCGGCTAATTTTGCCAGCATAACAATTCCTGCACAGAGTGACAACATTGGCCTACTGCGCTGTATTTATGAAGGAGCAGCATTGTTGCTTTAGAATAGGAAGTTTGGTAGGACTACAGAAAACCTCCACCACTCTCCATAACAGTAGGAAATGTTCTGTAGTCCAGAAAGAGCGTGAAACAACGTCAAATGATAACAGTCAGTAGGGGGAGAGAGAATAGTAAGCTTACTAGATTTCTGGTAGGATCAATAGTTATTTTTTGTATATATAACAACCCTTTTACTGGTTTATTTAACAGACCATAAAGAAATCAAGTACGAGAAGTTAATTGTTGGGAATACATACACTTTAACCAGGCACTGCAGTTTGGCAACGTACATAAACAAAGGAAAATATAAAAATATGCTTTTTATGCTAGCAGCTAGTGTGTTTTATTATATATTATATAGTTCTTAATATTTTTTATTAGTTTACTCTCATCCTCTCATTCATTTATTCATTGGTGTGTATCATTTTCTGTACCCAGCCCTTGATTTCATATATCCTATATTCCAGAAATATTCCAAAGAACTTTTTTTTGAGTTCCAGAACAACCTGTAGTAAACCCTGGTTCACACTGATGCCAATTGTCATGCAATTTGACCATTCAAATCGCATCCAATGAAAGGCAATGGAATCGTTCTACCCGGTGTGACTCTGACTTTGTGTTGGAGTGTTTAAAGTCACTGTCGTGCTGAAAAGTCCAAGAGTGTCCCATGTACAGATCTTGTGCAGAAGAATGCAAATTGTCTGCCAGTATTTCCTGATAACATGATGCATTCATCTTGCCATCAATTTTCACCCAGTGCCTTTAGAGCTTAACACCCCCCAAAAAAAGTATCATTATATTGTACTCCTTGAAACATCCACACTGTCTTTTTCCAGAGCAACCTGTATTTCTCCTTAGGATACCTGTGGGTTTTTCTTTGTAATCTGACCAATTCTTCTGGCAGTTGTGGCTGCAATCCTTCTTGGTCTACCTGACCTTGGTGTGATATCAAGAGATCCCCAAACTTGCCATTTCTTAATAAGTGATTGAACAGTACTGACTGGTATATTCAAGGCTTTGCATATCTTTTTATATCTCTTTCCATCCTTATAAAGTTCTGTTAACCTTGTTATGCAGGTCTTTTGACAGTTCTTTTCTGCTCCCCATGGTTCAGTACCTAGCCTGCTTATCCATGTGAGAGCTAACAAACTCATCGACTATTTATACGCAGACACCAATTGCAATTTAAAAACAGATGTGGGAAATTAACCTTTAATTGTCATTTTAACCTGTGAGTGTCACCATGGTACCAAGGCCAGACATTCCAAGGTATGTAAACTTTTAATGAGGGCCATTTGGGTGATTTCTGTTATTATGATTTGATAAAGAGCCAAACTACTATGTGATAATAAATGGCTTCATGTGATCACTATCCTTAAAGTGTTACTAAACCCACAACAGTAAAATCAGTCTGTATATGCAGTATGTTATACTCACTGTGGAATTGAAGGGATTAATCCTCTGCATTGTGTAAAAATCATGGTTTGATCCGGACTTCTCTGAACCTTCCCTTCTTCCAGTGCTCCCCTCTTATCTCCTGATAAGACATTGTGTGGAGTCACTCTGCACATGCTCAGTTTGGTATGTATTGCTGGAGAGGTTTTTTTTTTCTTGGGAGAGTGCATGTGATCAGCACAGGGTCAATTAGCACTGTCCAGACAGAGGTCAGGGGTTCTACATCCTCCTAGAGCAAAATGAAAACTCCTCCTACAAGCTTTAACCAGTGCTCTGCTGGATACTGATAGAAGACTGCTCTCTAACTGCTGATGAGAAAAGGTATTTAGCATTTTATATCTACAAAAATAATTGCATTTCCATGTTGTGTGTACTGTGGGAGACCAGATATAGTGAATGCAGTGTCCTGGGTTTAGTAACACTTTAAATAAAAGACAGACAGTTTTTTGACATGATCACTCATATTGTTAATATCAATGCCAAAATTTCACGATTTCTGCAGCAGAACTGTACATCCCATAGATTTTTCCTAGTTGGCAAAAAATCCTACAATTCACGAATCATGACTGTCTGATTTCCTGAATTGTTTGATTCATCCTGCAGGTACTCAGAATTTAGAAAAAAAACTTCTAATTAGCAATTCTCACAAGCCAGTACTTTCCACTTAGTATGTGTAATATGACAATTGCATAAAATATTTGTTACCAGCAATACCTTTATTTACGAATTGTATTATCAAGTAAGCATGCAACCATAAATACCACAAATACAACACCAGTATTGTCCAAGGTTTCAGGTAATTACCCACTGCAAAATTATCATGTAAACATATTTAAAATTGTTAATATTCAGTTATTCAGATTTTCAGAGGTAGACAAACACTTGTCTCCTAGTAATATTGTTAGAAAAACATTAAAAAAAAAAAAAAAATTCTACAAGATTATTCAAATCAAACATTACAGGTGTCACTTTTAAGATGAAGTAGAAAAATTATACTACAAGCCTATCCTGACAGTTTTCCCAACTAGAAATTCCATTACAAGTTTGGTCCTCATCAACTCATGATGAGGCCTGTCATGGTAGGGGAACATCACTGAGTAATACTGCTGCGAGTATTGATTATTTGGAAAGACTGGAATTCTCTTTGTGAAAATAGCAGATATTTTTCAGTTACATAAAACAAATGTAGAGATAGCGGAGAAAAAAAAAAACATTTACCAACCCCTCCCCCTATCTAGGGCAAACATTAATAAAATTTTTATTGCATGGGCATAATTAGGTAAGTGTGCAGTACGTTTAGCATTTCATTGACTTTCATTGCATTTTAAGACCTCCCTAATTATTTTCTAAACATACGCAAGCCATTTTGTCCAATGTGAAAGCTATCTCAGGGCTCTGTGCTGATATATTCAAACCTTCTTACTCTTTTCCTTAGAGCCCACATGAACATTCAGTTTAAATGAGCTAAATACATTCCAGGTGCATTAAAAACAAAACCCAAAGGGTGCATATCTTACCCTTTGCTTGCCTTAGAGTTGCAACCTGAGACAAAAAAGGCTGCCCCCTGCACACACGATGCAGAGAAGGATTCTTGCAGTAGTCTCTCTGCAGAGGTCCCACATTGCCCCAGCTGAGTCAGAGCAAAATCTCTGCATTTAAAATGATACTAAACCCACAACAGTAAAATCAGACTGTATATGCAGTAAAGCATGCTTGTTATACTCACTGTGGAACCAAAGGGGTTAAGCCTCCACATTATATTAAAAGGCTGATCCTGTCTTCCCTTATCCTCCTCTTTTCTCTGATTCTCCCCTTCTTCCACAGTCCCCAATACATCTGCTGATAGTACAGAGTGTGACGATCTCGGCGTCAGACTCCAGCCCTTCTCACCAAACTTGTGACCGAAGGACTAGCCAATCTAAAACCACGCTGTCACGTGCGTAACAATGCCACGCCCAGCTGCTCTCTGCACAAAGATTTTTCAGCTAATGGGCCACAATCTGTGTATCTGCAGCCTGAGAGCGATTGTTACTGGGTCAGGTTAATTACACAATTAACCCTTCACACTGCCACCACCTCTCTTTTTTGTACAGAGAAAGAGGAAACTCGGCAATATCAGCAATAACACTATGATGTTTGCATAAACGTTGGTATACCACTGTCACTGCAGGCAGAGATATACCGAAGTTCAAAACACACACACAGTAGCGCTGTTCAGGAGGCAGGGGTTCTTAGTTTGCATTAAAGAGCTTTAGAAACAGTTCAACACTTTCAGAAAGTAAGATTTATTATGAAAAGGTCAAAAAGGTGCAATAAAAATATTTACAGAAAAAGATGTAGCCAATATATATATATATATATATATATATATAAATATATATGTATATATATATATATAATTATACAGAGAACAATAACATAGCAAAGAGATAACAGAAGGAAATTTTAGAGGGATAAAGTACTTGCCGTCAGCCTTGGTTTAAGCAGCTTTCAATTGTTAGATCAAAAGGGTGCTTTTATCTCCCAAAGTTGGTTTCGATGTTACAAGGGAGAATCTTCAACTTAGCTCAACTCAGCTTAGCTTAGCTTTTTCTAGGAACTCAGCAGGGTGTCTCCTTAAAGCAGAGAACCAATCGCCTCATTTGGGGAGGGGTGTTGAGGCGGAGACCCTAGCTAGAACCAAAAACCCTCCCAGTTGATGTCATGGTTCATAACTTATTCTCGGTGCATTTAGCAGCCTTGCCACTAGTCAATTAATACGCAGA